AACGTCATTCAAAGTTGAATTAAGATGTGTTGGTATTCGAAAAAAACGTCATTCGTGTCCCATCTTGTTTTTTCGAATACCAACACATCTTAATTCAACTTTGAATGACGTTCATTCATCCTACCTTTCTCTTCCATCCTTTGAATGAGTTTATTAGCAAAGAAATAAAAAGGGTGAGAAAATACCTTTCCAATGACACCTCTTAAGTCTAAATGGGAAGAGTTTAGGTTCAGTTATTCAAGTTTTTCCTATACCAATCTTTGAAAAAAGTTAAAAAATAGCATAAAAATACCCCTTCATTACGATTCCGTTCAAAATTTTTTTTTAGTTTTTTTAATATTTTTATGCAAATATTTTAAGCCTAAACCGTTTTGTCATTTGAGAGGATTTTTTCAAAAAAAATCTTTAAGAAACTATTTTTAACCGACTTCCAAAAAAGGAGGAGGTTATCAGTTCGTCGGAATATTTTTTTTTTTTATGTATGTTACCGCATAACTTTGGACCACGTCAACCGAATTCGATAATTCTTTTTGCATCGGAAAGGTAGTGTCTGAGAGGTGGTCCCATACTAATCTGGTTGAGATCCGATCAGTGGATCATGAGATATATATATATATATTTTTTTTTATATGGGAGTTGAAGTCGGTTTTTTTGTTGCTAAAAATTACTAGTAATTCATAAAAAAAAACCCATTTTTCGAGGTATTTTCAACTCGGTGCAGCTCCTTTAAATCTTAATATTTTTCCGAAATATTTTGGTGGACGTCTTAAAATATAATATATTTTATAATTCCAATGGAAAAATAGTACCAATTTTTTTGTGTATGGGGAGTGATGCAGTCTAATGTACATATATTGTATTTCTGTTGAACAAGGATATGCATCCATTTTGAAATTTCCACCAACTATAAGATACAGTTTCTAGGGCAGATTCACTATAGATCCGGTTCATTGTTGCCGCCAGGGAACTTCTTCACGGACATAACACTTTCGTTAGGTTATTTAAGGCGGAAAACGAGCACCAAACCATTATCTTAGCCGATGAATGTGCCAATGGAAATCGTAAACGTGTAGAGAAAATGTTGGACTAAAATGGTTAAATTAAAAATCAAATTTTGGGCGGTACGAAGTTCGCCGGGTCTGCTAGTATATAAATAAATAAGTTAGAGATGGGCACGGGACTAAATATTCAATCCCGATCACGCCCATCCCGACGTTTTTCAGAATTGTACCGCGGGTCCCGTGGGTTCCGATATCTATCACTAAGAAAAATTCACACGTCTTTCAAATTAAATTTAAATAATGAAAAAAAATTAAAGATCTGGAATCTTCCGATTATTTTGTTTTTCTTTGCTGTTAGTTTTCGTCTCAATAAAACATGAAAAAGTGAATATAGCACACAACGTTTTTAAAGAAGATTTTCCAAATTTTTGGAGGTTGCGATTTTATCGGGAGTGTCGGGAAAGGATTTTGGTCTCGTCCCGCCCGGAAAATTTTTACAGACCTTCCCGATACCGCCCATCCCGGCCGTTTTGAAATCAGTATCGTGGATCCAGCGGGTGCACTAATCGCGTGCTGTGGTGTTGATTCAAACTCAACATTTCAAAGCACATTTACATGGCTGTAGCTGAGTGCGCAAGGATGCTTGCCACAATGTGGTAATTTCCAGAGGGTCAGGGTTCAAATTCCATTGCAGGCAACATGCAAATTAAATATTTTTCTTTTGGTTTATCTTAATTATGAAAAAGCATCCGTGAAGTGCAGAACGTCATCCGTGACGTGCAAAAAGTTTAGATTTAATATGGGCGTATTTGAATTGAATATTTCCATTATACACTACCCTTGAACATGTTTTCATATGATTTAAATACGTTTTTATTTGATTTTACTATATTTTCCTTCAGTGTATTCAGTGCAATTTTCACTTACCTCGTCAGGCTCGGATAAAGCGAACAAATCCAAGCGGTTCGCATTCCATTGCTGGATGACAGAGCGTACGGCTTCTCGATCGAGCATTTTTCTATCGTGTGTCATTTCTGCTTAGCTACTAAAATCTTGCAAACTAGTCAGTAGCAGTGTTGGGCGCATTTGCCTGCCGTGTTCGGGAGAGCGCTTGGGTAATCCTGTAAAAGAGAAGGCGAAAATGTAAAATGATAAGCTACAAAGGAAGTAAATTACTCACTAAAAACCAATACACAATTAATACAGTATTGAGTTGCTACATTATTTGTAAATACATATTAGAGTTCTGCATCGGAAGATATTTGGCTTCACATTGAAGTTTTCTAGTGAATACGCTACCTTCTCTTCCTCTCACTGAGAAGGCGGATAGTGAAGAGAAGTATAGTCGCTAAGCGTCGAGGAACTAAGTAAAGTACTGGACAAAAATATGTTCCGAAAAAGAGAGGAACATAAAAGAGGAGTACTACGTTGTGAAACTTCTGCAAGTAAAAGATTCCTTCATGTGAAGTTTTCAAGTATTTTCGAAAGATTTCGTTTGAGCATAATTTTTATATAAGAAATATGATATTTCTCGTGCACATAAAATATATTTACGTTTATTTCTATACGTTTTTAACCGACTTCCAAAAAAGGAGGAGGTTATCAGTTCGTCGGAATATTTTTTTATCTTTTTTTATGTACCGCATAACTTTGGACCACGTCAACCGATTTCGATAATTCTTTTTCCATCGGTTAATCTGGTTAAGATCCGATTAGTGGTGCATGAGATGTATATATATATATATTTTTTTTTTTATGAGAGTTGAAGTCGGTTTTTTTTGCTAAAAATTACTTGTTTATATATATACATGTATAAATATATGTATGTATATACATACACACATGAGTTTCTTTGGGTATTTTTATGTCATTGCTCCATATCTAACCTCATACTACATCAAATTTAAATATTGAAGCACCCATGATAAAAATATAGTAAGGTAGAACCGCTGAGAGTTACTTTTAAAATTCTTGACGTTTCCAAACATTTTAATTTTTAAATTTACTCACAAACTCACACACACATTTTCATTTTCAATCTCAAGCAACAACAATTTCGAACAATTTCAATTTTTTGATTCTCAATTTTATATGATTTTAAAATGCTGGCAAACTTCAAAAAAAAAATCATAGCCGACAAAATGAGAGAACGGTTCTACCTTGCTATGTTTTTATCATGGAAGCACCTTCAAGGTCAGCTTTAAAAAAAAATCAAATTTTTACATAGGGTTGCCATCTGTCTGAAAATAAAGTGAATAAAATATTTTAGTGGCGTAAAATTTTGCAACGGTTTTATCGAACGAAAGGCATTTTAGTGTGCTTTTATCAAGAAGTAATATTTTTAATAGGGTTGCCACCTGCCTAAAAAGTTAAGTTAAATTTGTTATACAATATAGAGATTTTCGGGATTCTTGGGACTTATCGATATAATAATCGATATTTTTATCGGGGCTATTATCGATATTTTTATCGAATTTGTTATCGATATTTTTATCGATTATTTATCGATTTCGTTATCAATTTTGATATCGACTACTAATCGATTTTTTTATCGATTTTTTTATCGATTTTGTTATCGGATATTTTTATTGATTTTGTTATCAATTATTTATCGATTTTGTTATCGATATTTTTATCGATTTTCAAATCGATTTTGCTACCAATATTATTATCGATTTTGCTATCGAGATTTTTAACGCATTTGTCATCGATTTTGAAATCGATATTTTTATAGGTTTTATTATCGATATAAATTGCATCAATTCACCCTGTACCTCTAAAAAAGTTCTTACTTCAAAAAATAAAACCGATGTCCTTAATTTGACATCTCATTTTTTAAATTCGAGAGAACTGTGCAGATCTGATCTCCTTCACAAAAAATTGCTTCACGTATTCTAACGCCCATATTTTAATACATAAATATGTATGTATTCATTAACCTAACTCCCTTAATTTTTGTTGAATTTAACGTTTTAAACGGGTGGCAACACTCCTACA